TAACACAAACAGGAAGTTAGGATGGGTTTTAGTTCCTCTTGGGAAATCTCTGAAACAGTAATCGTGATTCCAGAGAGCAGAAGATGCAAAGTACTTACAAATTGGATTAGCCAAATAAATAGAACTCACTTTTTAGAGTGGCTGGGGCTGTGCTCACCACCTGGTGAGAGATGGAGGTTTTAGGATTAAAAATCCAGATATGCTACCCTTTAAAAAGGTGCAGATGGTCAATGTTAGGTTTGTTTGGGTTTGGTTTAGTTTGGAGTTGGGGTGGGGGCTAGGCCAGCCTTACACTCTGGACAACCCTGCTCCCATTTCTCAAGTGCTAGGGTCCCAGGCCTGAGCCATCACTACTGGTGCAATGATAACTGTAACCTCGGGTATATTTTCCCCACAGTTTTTTTCCTTTGTTTGTTTTGTTTTGTTTTAGAAGTTGGCTACTAGTGATAATTAAGAGTGCCCCCCAGACCAAACTCATCATTTTTTTTTCTCTTCTTAAAGTCTTGTTTGTGGGCCAGTGAGATGACCTAGGGGGTGGAAGAAAGCTCCCGCTGTGTAAACCTAACGACCCAAGTTCAAAACTGACTCCCAGAAGTTGTGCTCTGGCCACCACACACTCACCATGGCGTGGGCTTGTGCATCACACACACACACACACACACACACACACACACACACACACACACACACACAAATTAAATGTAAAGAAAAATGCCCTTTACTTTTTCAGAAACTGTAACCTGGCTTGCCCGGTAATAATTCCTCAGTCGGGCTGGTTTATTTCCTGATTATCTACTTTGTGTCATCCAGATTTAAACATCTGATTTCACACAGGCTATGTGAAATCTAGTTGGTTTCCCCTCGGACAGTGGCTGTAACCTGAGTCAGGGAGTGGAGATGGTTTGCTGTGAGAGATGAGTGACAAATGTCCAGAGTCCCAAGTCTCACTGCATTCCTATTTTTCTTTGCTGAACCCCAGAAAATGCCCAGGCTCCCCTATTCCCACATTTTCTCAATAGGGCCCAGCCTCCTGCTGAGCCAGCAGGTCAGAGGGGTGCCCTCGGGGGTTGTGTGTGTGTGTGCGTGTGTGAGAGCATGTCTTTTCCTGCATGTGTGTGTTTCCTGTTGCATGCATGTGGTGGATTTGGGGGATGCGGCAGGGAGCTTGTTCACTTAGGAGGTGAAGGGGAAGTCTGCACATTTCATGTTGGTTCGACTGAGGCCTAAACTTGCCATCTAGACTGACATAGGACTGGCACCAGAGACCTCCTACGTGTACCAAGTGGGTTTGGAGGGGGGGCATTTTTTTAACCCTTGTATGGTAAAGTAATTCCAAAGTGTTTCTCCTCTGCCTAAAACTGGGATAGCCTGCTGACCAGTCTCTATACTGAAGATATTTTTTGTTTGTGCTGCTAGAGGTGCTTGGCCCTGGGAGGTCCTTGGGAAAGGAAGGGAGTTTGAGAGACTGCTCAAATAGACAAGCACCCAGCAGGAGAGCAGTGGAGACTGCACTTTGGAAGGGAATGACAGAGTGCCTCTATTCCAGCCTCTTTCCTGGGGTGAGCACTGCCGGGCCTATATGTCCTGGACAGTACTCACTTCCGTGATGTTTTGATGTTGAACAAAATCTGAATTTGAGGGCGTGTTTTATCAGCTGCTTCCAGCTCTGAGTTCTGTCCTGTCCCCTTGTGGGACGCCCACTATGTTGTATAAATTAGACCTCATGTATTGAAGCTGTCCATATCGAGGGAATCACCACAGTAGCCATAGTTTCTGGGAGGAAAGGAGTTGAACAAGACATTACTTCCTTAGTGATTATCAGCTAAAAAAAGACTGATGAGTGCTTCCACGGGTGCTTCTGGGGCCAAGCATCATGCTTACGGCTTTACATCTCTTACCTGTTAAACTTCAAGTACCATCTTCTTAGGGAAAACCAAGGATTGTAAGTAATTCTCCCAAGTACCTCCAACTAGTAAATTAGGGTTCTGCAGGAGACTACGTATAACTTCAAAGCCAACCTGGACTACATAGTGAATACCAGACAAGCCAGAGCTACATAACAATAGCCTGTCTCACAAAAATAATAATCAACAAGAAGAACAAAATAGGATCCTGGGATTTGAACCCGCTATGACTGTGCTTACCCTAGGGCTCATCCTGTAGTCTCAATGCATAAAAATAGAGACTCAAAATAAAAGAATTGCTGCCGTCACCCATATCCATCTGAAATCCCTCTGCTGGGCAGAGCAGAAATTCCTTCCCTGGGATCATAGGAAAAACCAACAGTCCCTGATATGAGTGGGAATGAGGGGGCTATTGGGACCAGCCAAGAGCTCTGTCACCTGTCCCCCTGGCCACGAGCATGTGGAAGCTTTGTCTTCTCGTGTTTCCTAGTATGCTAAAGCTGCAAGAGAAAATTCAGAGCATGGTTCTGCATTTTAATCTTTGAAAAATAAGTAAATTAGGCTATGATATAAAAAGTAGAGTTTTTGTTTCTTTCATATTGGGATGTAAGTAAAATACACTTGGCTTTGCTTAGGCTGCAATAGCAAGAACACACTGGACTGGGTAACTGAAATAACAAGTACTTATTGCTTAGAGCTCTTGAGGCTAGAAAGTTCAAGTTCAAGATCATAGACTAGGGTGCTGGCAGATCCAGGTCTGGTCTGCAAAGGAACTTCCTGTTCTGCAGACAGACATCTTGTTATATGGCCAAGAGAGGGAACAAGCCTGCATGCCTTTTCTTATGGAGACACTAAGCCCCATTCACCAGGACTCTAACCACCCAATGTCCCCATGTCTTCATGCCATCACCTTGGGGGGTGGGGGCAGTAGTCAGTGTGTCAATTTGAGAGGGACATAGCAGCAGATCCATCCTTCCACAGACCATGGTTCCAGGAGTCAAACAACCCTGGCAGAACGTGACGCTTTTCCACTTCCCTTGAAAGGTCTGTGCCCCTCTCCTGTCAGGCCTGTTTGGCCCCTGGACTCCTACACTCTGAAGGAGACAGAAGGATACAAAATAATGCTTTGATGATGGGGCCTGAACCAAATCACACCTCCTAACATTGTGTATGAGCCTCACAGCCCTTTCCACATTCCCACTTGATAATGTTGCCTGTTACAGAGCACTAAGGTAGGTTTAGTCTGCACATTTAAAAAAATTATGTGACCTGGCTTCAGGGTTCTTGCAGTCACGGTCCACACACTTTCAGGAATCAACTTTGACTTTAGTGGACACCATAATCAGAAATCGACTGCATTCCCCTCCCTACATACATTCAAAAATGGCGTAGGCCACGCCTTTCCCTAGGTTTAGGCAGTTTACTGCAACAACTCTGGCTCCTCAGAGCAGAATCCCATTCTTTCTCATGCTCCACGCCTCCCTGTGTGCAGGCATGAGCTCACCAGACACACTCAGGTGTGAGTTAATGGGTGTCCCAGTTTAGCATGCACCTGAGTTACTGATGGGAATGCTAATTGTTCTTCACACATCCTTCCTGTGGGAGCACCCCAGAACTGTGGTGCTCACTTTGTGTTTGGGTAATGTCTCACCAGACATCCCAAACTCAACACAAACTGAACCTGATTAAGTCTTCTTTGATGACTCAGGAAGAAGTGGAGAGTCTTGCAAGCCTCCACACATATCATAATGGTTTCTTTTTCATTCATGTAGATTTTCTAACTAATTAGCAAATAGAGTATCCAGTGCAGCCTTCTCATATTGACATGCTCTTGCACAAGATTTTTAATACCTGGTAAGAAAAGCATTCCCAGAAATAAGGTGAAACCTTAGCTAAGAAATTGAACATCACAGGTAGATGATTTCAACTCCTACAGGGAGAGGTAAGAGTGGAGATGTTAGGATCAGCCATACCTGCTTCAGATCAGAACTTACTCACTTAGGGACTCTGTGATCTTGAGCAAATTTCTGGTTACCCAGAGCCTTAGTTGCCTCATCTGTGAAATGGGGCTAAGACAGTCACAAATCACAATCATTTGTTGTGTGCATTGAATGAAAACGCACAGGGAAGCAAGGCATGGGTGGTCGCCATAGAGCAGCAGCCTTTCACAAACACCAGTCTCAGACCTGCTCTGGGTCATGCAGTCTCAGGCAGACAGGTATCACCGCCGTCTTCACCGACACCTGGCCATGGATAGAACCCAGAGCCTCGTTCATGCTAGGCAAACAGGATTTCACTGTGTAGCCCAAGCTGGTCTTGAATTCACAATCCTGCAACCTCAACTGCCTAAGTAATAGGATTGCATATGTGCACCACCACACCCAGCTCAGAAAGTTCCCTTTAGCTCTGTCTCATTCAGTTAGGGGATCCCTCAGGGTCCATAGGATGATGGTGGCCCCAGGTCAGAGCTCTGGGTCCCACAGCAGTGCCCATCCCCACAGCTTTACTGTGTGTATTCTGCATGTGAGTGCCTATGACATCTTTCTTGTGATGGACTGTTGCTCTCAAGGTTTTGACACTACTAACTTAATCCAATTCCCATTATTCACAGAGTAGGAAACCAAGACTTAAAAAGCCTAGCTGAGTATATAAATATAAAATCTTCTGATGCCCGGGCTGGCCATTCCCAAACCTCCTCATATCACAGATGGAAAAAGCCAAGAGCAGAAGACAGTGGCCAATGAGCTGCTCAGTTTTGACATCTAATCTCTAGATGCAAAACCACTTCCAGGAGAAAGGCAGCCACGCTATTCCAGACCATGGCTCAATTTGTCTGTGGACAGCTACAGGTGGCAGGTGTCCTCGTATTCTGGATTTACCTTGGAGCTCTTACCCCTCTCCCACTGGGCAACAGCTTCTCCAGCCTAGTGACATTTGCTCCATCACTGTTCACTGGACACATCTCACTCCAGGATCAGTGAGGGAGGCCTGGGCAGCAAGATCCCATTTCTTCTATCAGCAAAATACCTGTCAGGACTCCCCTCCAGCATCCGTTCAGGGGTTCCTCACTTTCTTTTCCTCAACCTCTATTTCCAGCCTCTCAACATTGCCTACAGCCACATCTATAGCTCCTACAGGAACTTTGTGGGGCCCCCTCACTTCAAGACCATCTGCAGACTGCTGGGCTACCAGGGCATTGCCGTGGTCATGGAGGAACTACTAAAAATCGTCAAGAGCCTGGTAAGGGGAGATGCTGCTGCTTGGATGTTCCCAGGTACAGGAGCTGTGCACAGGACTGGTCTTTCTGAGCTGAAAAGCAAATCTCAGGTGCACCAGCTCTGCCACTAGATGTCCCCCTGGGAGTGTGGTGGTATTGTGTTTCCCAAAATATTGTGTACCTTAATAAACTTATCTGGGGTCAGAGAACAGAAAAGCCACAATATTAAACATAGAGGTTAGGCAATGGTAGCACACGCCTTTAATCCTAGCATTCCAGAGACAGAAATCCCTCTGGATCTCTGTGAGTTCAAGGCCGCATTGGAAACAGCCAGGCATGGTGACTCACACCTTTAATCCCAGAAAGCAGCCTTTAATCCCAGGGAGTGGTGGTAGAAAACAGAAAGGTTTACATAAGGCGTGAGGACCAGAAACTGGAAGCATTTGCCTGGTTAAGCATTTGGCTGGTTAAGCATTCAGGCTTCTAGCAGCAGTTCAGCTGAGAGCCATTGGGATGAGGACACAGAAGCTTCCAGTCTGAGGAAACAGGACCAGCTGAGGAATTGGCGAGGTGAGGTTAGCTGTGGCTTGTTCTGTCTCTCTGATCATCCAGTGTTCACCCCAATAACTGGCTCCAGGTTTGATTTTATTAATAAGACTCTCTAAGATTCATGCTACATGGGAGTCCTTGGTCCTTATTGCTTGGTGGTTTCTACACATCTGGTATATTTCCTTATACCTCTTTTTATGTAACTTTTATTTTTATGTGTGTGTGTGTGTGTGTGTGTGTGTGTGTGTGTGTGTGTGTGTGCGCGCGCGCGCACCTGCTTGTCTATATGTGCATCATGTGTATGCTACCCACAAAGACCAGAAGAGGGTGATGGATCCCCTGGAACCGGAGTTCCAAGCAGTTATGACCACTTGATGTGGGTGCTAGAAACCAAATCCAGGTCCTCAACCAGGGTAGCAAGTGCTCTTAACCACTGAGCTGTCTAGCCCTGAATTGACCTCTTGACCTTTGCCTCCCCGTTTGTGACTCAGAACTCACTTCTTGTTTTTGCTGAATTGAGAAATCCTGATTTTGACATTCAAAGCCAGATCACTATTCATGCTGCCCAGCTATGCTCTCTGTTAACTAAATCGGCGTGATGGGCTGTGTGTGTAGTTCAGTTGGTACAATGCTTGCCTGATATGTACAAGGTCCTTGGTTCAATCCCTGGTACTCCCGTAGAGCTGGCTGCTGTGGTAGTACCAAATTATAATCCCAGTATCCCGGAGGTAGATGTAGGAAGACCAAAGGTTCAAGATCATCCTCAGCCACATAGTAAATTCAAGGCCAGCTTGGCCTCCATGAGACCCTTTAAAAACAAAAATCAAAACAACAACAGAAGACGTCAGCGTAGCAAATCCACAGCTCAGGTGCTGCCAGTTTTTTTTAATTCTCATATGTCCTTGGGGTTTCTTGCTGACCACTGCTGCCAATATTACAGGGAGTTCTGTATCCTTTACCAACATTCTGTGTGTACCCCAAGTATGATTGTCTGGAGCTTCACTTAATTCCCTGTGGTGGTACTGAAGCAAGGCCAAAATATGGAAACAAGATTTCTCTGGAAATCTTGAGTTCCTGAAGAGAAATAACTTATAATCAACCATGTATGGAATAAGCCAAATTCTCTTGCTCAGTCTAGTTCTTTAGAAGCAGCCATGAGAAGCTGTTACAGGTCATTAAGGGTTGCCGTGCCAAGTCCAGAGTAAAACAGAAAAAATGCGGTAATGGATTAAAGATGTCTTTCCTTGGACATGTAGAGGAATGTGCTATGAATTTTCCATGCTTAAATTAGATTACATGCATTAATCCCCACAGTTCCCTGCCTACATTTCATTTAGTCTCCATATCATAAGCATTCCCAGCCCTGAAAAAAACCCTTACCTAGATATCCCACACCCCTCATAAAGTCTATAAAGGACGGGGGGGGGGGGGGGGGGCTATTTCCCCCTTTTAAATGCTTTGCTCACAAATCTCAACAGAACTCCGGTATCCCACTGTGGCCCTGCATTTGGCCCAGAGGTATAGAGTATAACAGTGGGCTATCTCACTCCAGCTCACTCATCTGTATCATCTTGCAGCTCCAAGGCACCATTCTGCAGTACGTGAAGACGCTGATAGAGGTGATGCCGAAAATATGCCGATTGCCTCGGCATGAGTATGGCTCCCCAGGTGGGTAACGGGGAAGAAATGAATGCGCACCCAAGGCAGGGCGGGGCTTCCACCTCAGGAGATTTCAGTCTCTAAGTTGCCAGACAGCTGACATCCTGGCTCTGCCTGCCACTGGCCTGATAGCCTTCGACCTGTCTTCCCCCCTCCCTCCCCCAGCAGTAGTATCATCCTCTGTCAGGTCGGTGAATGGCCCTTTGAGGATGCCCACTGGACTGCTGGCCAGCTGCAGTTGAACTGCGAGTGTGAGAGCATTTAAACAGTGAAGAGAAGGTTTCCATGTATGGTCCTCAGCACCTCTAGTAGGCCTTCCCGTTGCCTGTTTAGAGGTAGCTGGTACCCCAGCTGGCGTGCCATGTGACATAGATAAACTGAGGCTGGAAATGGGTTTTTTTTTAACCTCTCAATATGAAGAAAGACAGAAGCTATAAATGTGGTGCCTTGTATTTTTTGTTTCTAAAAGCTAAGACATAATTTTCCATATGAGTGTGATTGAGAACAGGAAAAGGATGAGGCCGGAGGCTCTGGTATCCACACCTAGCTGCACCACTTCCTGGCTGTGTGACTATGGGTGGGTCACTTACCCACTCTGAACCTCATCTGAGAAAAGATGATAATGTCTAGTTGATATTCTAAGTAATGAAATATTATAGATAGATATACCTAACTCAGTAGATAATATCTATAAATAATAATTTTGCCGTTAGGAATTCAGGTCCCTGTTGGAGGGTCAGCTAGGCCACAGCTGTTCCATGTGGGATTGTAGATGTGTTTTATTTTGCTCCAGATATTTTGTGCCAGCCTCCTAAGCTTTGTCTAGTATTGACCTTTGCGTGGAATCCCACCCTTAAGCTAGCATGTGGAAGGTTGCTAAGTCTAGGGCTGTGGCTCAGTTGGCACTGCCCATAAACCTGATTAAACAGTGCCCATGTCCCCTGACCTCCCCCTTATGGCTCTCAGGGATCCTGGAGTTCTTCCACCATCAACTGAAGGACATCATCGAGTATGCAGAACTCAAAACAGACGTGTTCCAAAGCCTCAGAGAGGTGGGCAATGCCATCCTGTTCTGTCTCCTCATAGAGCAAGCTCTGGTAAGTCCTGAACCTACAGAACCTATGGTGACCCCAAGCTGGAGGGACCCCACACATACCCAGATGCCAAGGCTTCAGGCCTGACATATATGCTTTCATTCCTGAAGGCCAGAAGGCCAGAGGGGGCAGAGGCGGCTCATACCTGGCTTCCAGCACTGCCGCACCCCTCACTGGTTGGGCCCAGTCCTCAGGGAAGGCGGCCAAGTCTTAGTTGGCCTTTCTCTTGGCCAGCTCACCACCAACCAGTACTGTGCTGGGGAAGAAGCAGCAGTAGTCAGCTGCTGCCTGCACCCTGTGTGTGCTTGTGACCGAATGCAAGAGGTGTGCATCTTAGTGAATGCAAAGGCAAAATATTCACAAGCAAGGTGTGAAAGTGTGGCAAGAGCTTGCTATCTGCAGCAGGCAAGGAGAATGTGGGGTCATTTCTCTGTGAACAAAGAAAAGCATGGGGACTTTATCCAGGGAACCTACGCATATTCATGCAGGTAGCCACACATTTAGGAACATGTCCAGTTAGGGACTGTTCCTAAACATGCTTTAACATCATAATTTTAAAAGATGTGTAAAAGGATTTTTGTTTTTCATGTGTATGAGTGTTTTGCCTGCCTGAATGTATGTGTACCATATGTGTGCAGTACCTTCAGAGGTCAGAAGAGGGCATCAGATCCCCTGAAACTAGAGTTATGAATGATTATGAGCATCCTTGTATGTACTGAGAACTGAACCCAGGTCCTCTGCAAGAGCAGTCAGTGCTCTTAACTGCTGAGCCATCTATCTAGTCCCTGTAAAGGATATTTTAAAAATTAATGTGATGGACAGAAAGAAATGCCTCTAGGCCTGTTCAGTTGCACCATAAGGTTTTAGCTGAAAATAAGAGAAAGTATTTTGAGCGTGCAGGCCCCTAAAGGTGTCTGCCTGACTTAGTGTTGTCATGTTGCCATGGAAATGATATCTATAATGTCAGTAGTGCTGTGAGGGGCAAGCACAGGGTCCAGGGAGAGAAAAAAATAGAAACCAGTGTGGTATGTGTATAAACTGACAACATGACCGCTCCATGATATGGTTAAGGGAAAGCCTTTTATTGTAGATATGAGAGAAAGAACAGCCAGAGGCATCTGGAAGTATCCAGAACAGAGAGAAAGTAGGAGCTTGAACATAGCTAGCATACTGGACCTGCCTCTGAGAGAAGCAGGAACCGAGCAGGGTGGGGCTATGTAGAGAAGGAGCATGGGAGAGCAGACAGGGAGGAGGGAGACAGAGAGGAAGACAGAGAGCATGGCGGAAATGTCAGGGTTACAGGGGAGTGAGTAGCTGGGGAAGTTTAGGATAGGGAGGAGGTGAGAAGAGCCAGGATGGACTGGTGATGCTGAGGGAGCCTGGAGACCAGCATGCCCTTTGCTGTGCTAACAGGTGTGGCGCTAATGCTGTGGTGCTAACAGGCACCACAGATAGACATTTGTCCCTTCTGCCTTTTGGAATTTGGAGTCATGGGGTTTCCTTTGGACCTGACAGTATGGGGACTAAGGCAGGGCTTCCCTGCAGACTGTCCTGGAGAGTGAGTGGGAACTTCATTACGGAAGCTGTCGTAGGCCAAGGGCAGCCCTGCATCTTCAGCTCTTGTGATTGGAGACAAAGGAATTATCCTGCCATCCAGGTTAATGACTGAAGAGAGATGGCATGTGTAAAGTACAGGCAGCAAGAGCTAAACAGTGGCAGCATCACAGGAGCTGACGCAAGGGTGCCTGCCTGTAGAGATGCATCTCGAGACGCATCTCAGGCAGCCCCTTTGCTGACTAGTGGGTTATCTGCATTGCTGGCCCTGCTGTACAGATGTGACGTGCTCAGAGGCTGTGCTTACCGCGTTCATTCCCACACATTCCCTCTATGTGGAGGACTCAGTCCTGAAGGTGTCTGGTGACTAGGGTAATGGAAGGAAACAGAGAAGGGTGCAGCCGTGGGGATGGAGTGATGTGGGGCTACGGAACTCTTCAGGTGCAATGGAACACCCTCGGGGCATCTCCTTCATCTACACACAAAGTGTAGGTGACTAAGAGCTGACCTTCTGCTTATTGTGACTCTAGGGGGTAGAGAGCACCCCCCAAATAAGAGACAGGCATCTTTGTCTTCTTTCTAGAGGGGGAGATGAGCGGACATCTCACAAAAGGGTGAATGCATACACTGCATATGAGGGCGCTATGGAGCACATGAACAAGGTAACAGCAGGGATGTGGAGGACCTGGGGAGGATGTGCTGTTTTGGAAGGTAGAACTTGGTGTCTAGAAGAAGCAGAAAGGATCCAGGGTAAGCAGGCATAGAAAGGCCAAGGCAGGACCTGAGGGGAAGAGACAGCCGCATGGCAGGCGTCCTCTGGCCACAAAATGCTGGCAGAAGCTGCTGGGGGCTTCTGGGCAGGAGAGGAGGAAGGATCTGACTTTTTCAAAGGTCCTGTTGGCCATAAGGAGGAAGCAGCAACTGGGCAGAGAGCAAAGGACGAGGCCATGGCTGTTTGCAGCCTGGGTCCATGGAGAGAGAGAGGGGTGGGGTAGTGAGAGAGACAGCAGAGGCAGAAACGAAAAGGGAGAAGTAATCATGAGGGCTGCAGAGTAAGAGAAGGTGTCACTCACTGGTAGCTGTGTCATCCCAGGTGAGCCTGGGCATGCCTCGATGTCTGTCCTCATCCTAATTTGGGGCCCTTGGACCGGCTGCTCTCAGACTCTCACTGTCCCCGGAAGCTCCGAAATGGCCCCGTGGTGCCCTCTGTGAGGAGTAATTGTATTCTCTTTTAAATGGACTCTGGAGACAGCTAATGGCTCCTCTTCCCGATAACAGGTTCTTTACACAGTTCAGTGGGCCTGGGTTGCTATAGCAACATAGCCTTCAGAAGTCACAAGGATAAGTAGTAAAAAATTGTTCAGGGTCTCAAGAGCACAAGGAGAAGGTAGCAGATGTCGGGGGAGACATGTGAGCCCCCCACTTTCAGGAGAAGCTGTGAGTGAGAGCCTCCATTCAGACCTGGAGGTCATGATATCATTACAGGCTAATTTTGGAGGAAGCATCTTTCCCAGCTCCATCGCTAAGGACAAAAGGACACTCAGGATCTAAATTAACCTAGCTGACTCTCCTAGCATGCACACACAGTGTGGAGAACATGTCAGCAGCCAAGAAAGATGAAAACACGGGTGACCCTGGTCCTGGGTGGCTGGGGGAAGTGGGGTGGCACAGCCCAGAATCACCCTCACCAAGACGGCGGCCTCTGCTGTCTGCTTTGACAAATGGGGAGATCTCCAACTATCCTGACCTGTGCTTGCAGGGATGAAAATAGGGCATGAGAGTTCCAGAGCTTTTTTTAGCTTAGAAAGTGGAAATTAGATCTGTAAGTGGTGTATCAGTGGTTCCCATTAAGAAAGCAAAGAAAGAGAGAATGGATGGGAAGAGAGGGGACAGGAAGGAAAAAGAGGGGATGGGGCGAGAAAAAAGAGAAAGGGAAGGAGTTAGGGTGCAAGGGAGGGGAGAAGGAAGGGAGAGGGAGGCAGAGGGAGGGAGAGGGAAAGCTAAGGCCATAGAAGAGCTGTGTAACTGGACCGTGCGTTCTTCTGAAAGCCTGAAGCCCTCAACAAGAATGGGGTCCAACAGTAGTTTTCACCTCAGCACAAGGCGTGGTAAGAGAGAATGTCAACTAAAATGTGAGTTTGTAAATAGAGATATGTCGTGGGGTTACATCTGCAAAATAAACAACCTGCAGAACAATACCTTGAGGAATAAATAGGAACTCACCAGGCTGAGGGATCCCCAGCCATTGTCTCTAGATTTCAGGAAAGAGGCATGGATTAGAGGTCAGCAGGGACATTTGGCCTTACCAAGAATGGCTTCATGTCCTACTTGGAAATCGTATTGATGTGTTAGCATCGATCTAAAGACCAGTTGGAAATGGTAGGAACAGATAGCTGTGAGGAGCGAGAAGTCCTTCTCCGGGTCTTTGCCGTAGCTGCCGCTTCCTCCTAGTGGATTTCAGCTTTCACTTGTCATGACTTCCACACTGATTAACAAGCTGCGGGGTACTTCCTCTTACTCTGTCACCTGCCTTTCTAAAGCCACAGCGGTAACTCAGCCTTAATCTCAAGGTATAGAGAGTGTATGCCTAAAAGGATAAATGTATTTTCTTCATTATTATATGCTTGTGGATCTCCAAATTGGAGATGTGATATGAGTCCAAAGATGACGTACCTGACTTTTCTCTTTTTGTTGGGTTGTGTGGTGTCTTTCAGGAACATGTGTGGTCAGGTGTGGAAATCTTCAGTGAATAGCTTGATCAGGCACCAAGCCCATGTAACCCCCGCTAAGTCTAGAAACAGAACAGTCGCAGGCAGTTCTTCATGCCTCCTTGCATTCCTTCAAAGCAGCCATGATTCTGACGTCTGACCCCAGAGCTTAGTTCTGTCTTTGAAGCTCATTGAAGTGGGATTGTGCAGTATATTTTGTCCCTCTGTCTGAGGCCTATCATCCACGGCTGTCTGTGCAGTTTGTATTGTAGATGGTTCCCATTGTGTTTGTCGGTGAATTGAATAGTGTTTTAGAGTGATCGGGTGCTAATGGCTAATCTTAACTTTCAATCTGATTGTGTCAGGAAGTACCTGGCAAGCAAGTGAAGCACGCCCTACAGATATATCTGTGAAGGACATTTTCAAAAAGACTTAACTAGAGGGATGACAGGAGATGACTCATCCTGAATGTAAATGGCATCATCCCATAGGCTGGGGATGTTGGTGGGGGGAAAAAAAGAGGGGTATGGGGTTGGAGAAATGGCTCAGTAGTTAAGGACACTTGCTGTTCTTGCAGAGGATTCGAGTTCAATTCCCATCACCCATGTGAACCATCTGTAATTCCAGGTATCTGGCACCCTCTTCTGGCCTCTGCAGGTACTGCACACAAATGGTACACATACATATATGCAGGCAAACACACACACTAAAAAAAAAATCCTCTTTAAGAATAAAGGAAGA